TGTCGGAAAGAAAAGTATTTAGGAGGGGTGGGGGGCATGGATTGTTAGTAATGCGGACTACCATTCCTATTGCCAGCAATATATCTTATTAGGTCGACCTCCACGTGGTCCGCGTAGAACGTGCTGAATTCCCGGCGTATTCATCACGATGGGCTTAATTTGCCTTTTTTATCTCACCTATCATCATTCACTGGTGCCCCGCCAATGTATACTATTAGCGCAGGTGGGGATACCACTTCATTGTCTTCAGTTAAAAAAATGTATTTAGGATATGTACGTAATTGAGTATAATTGTTTCTTGCAACTACAGACTTACCAAATTTAACGAAGAAGTGTTTTTGTTTGGTTGTAAATAGCATAGATATTTAAATAATGAATTTATTAATGTAAGTTTACAGTCATATATTTATGATGGTATGTTCTTAAAGTAAATAAAAAATATAATAATGTCAATCACAATAGGCATTTAATTCACCATTCACACGACATTTATAAGATTAATTTTATTTCGTTGTGAAATTCTGGATGAGTTCTAGATATCTTTTGTAAGAAATATTATAAAAATAGACCTTTGTTACCAGGAGGAAATATTATTAAAATATTATTTCACAAATTATTGCGTTATTGAAAAATTTTTAAACAAATTGCTGCATTTTATTTTTAATAATGACGTTCATAAGAAAACACTAGATACGATTTTGTTAAGATAAAAAAAAATATATGGAAATTTTAATTTCATAATGATATAAGAATAACATGTACTTAATAAAATATGTAGCTTCATCATTTCAGCCATTATCTGTCCACTGCTAAACATAGGCCAGCCTGAGCTACTTGCATCCACTGACTCCTTGCAATGCATTTGAGGTCGTTACTCCATCTAGTGGGGGGGGGGTCGTCCTACACTGCGTTTGCCTTTACGGGGTCTCCACTCAAGAATTTTTCTTCCCCATCCCAATAATTAATAGCCAAAACCGTTTAAATTCTTATATCTACAGACGTAGTAGCAAATTCGATGATGTATCTCTAATCGGCCGTTTACAATCTAAACAAAGATTACTACTCGCTACGTGAACATTTAAATCACGCGACGCTGGCCATTCTCATCCGCCATTAACTAAGCTCGATTTAAACAAAAAATTAACAAGATTTCCCGTCGCCGTCTGCTCAAGACGTATTCTTTCGTGTAACCCTAAAAAACAAGTCATTACCGAAGCGGGTTTAATCTAGCGTTGTTCTGGGGATTTTTTCGAGATGTTCTCTATTATATGAAAGCGATCGCCCGGGTCGCCGACGGGCACCGTTTACGCTAAAATGATATGATTAATTACCGTCCGGGTGCCTCATTAGCGCACAAATAAGATCATTCATTGGTGAAATTGAATCACGAACGCTCGGCGACCGCTCAATCGGGTCTAATTATAATTTTATTTTACTCACCGCACTGGTAAATACTCGCGTTTTCAATGGATTTAAAAAAAAATCTAACTCGTTTTAATATGAGTAATGCAATGAATTGAAATTTGTACCACTATAAACCACAATTCACTCGCTTTATTAGTCACATTGCATGATAACTTACAATTAATTATTATATAATATATAAACGTCTCATTGTCACATTATTAATACTATTGTGAGAGGGAGGGATTGTTAGTAATGCAGACTATATTGCACATTGTTAGCAATATAACCATTCGGGTCTACCTCCACGTGGTCCTCCCTGGAAACCATCGTCCTGAAGTTCAGATGTATTCATCACGATGAGCTAACTGACGTGCCTTTTCATTCTCAACTATCATCTTTCACTGGTGTCACATCAGCGTATACCGTTAGCGCAGGTGGCATTACTATTTCAAGATCATTCATTAAAAAAATACTATTTATTATGTGTATATTTCAATATATTAAAGTAGTTTTGACATTTTATTATTGTCCCATTACTGAGCGTCTCTCCATACAAGAGGGGAATATTAGTATCCAATTCTTGTAGCTATGTATGCACCATTTATCTATTTCTCTGTGTTGATCGGTAGAGAACACCGTCCTGTATTTATTTATTTACTTATTTTATCAATCGAGTGAGCTTTACAATCTCCCAATACGAGTACGCTCACCCAGGAAAGTATCAGTATCGTATAATTAAATGGAATAATATTAATTAGATTTAAATTACAATATAATAATACTAGAAATAACATCTATATCAGAGATAAACACTTTATGGTCATCCAACGAAACTCCAGAAAGTAAGAGGCAAACACATCTAATTGCGGATATTAAGTCTCATATGAGTGGATTTATATTTTTATAATAAATATTTTCCTTTTGCTACCACGGTGGTTAGGTGGAATGGTATGGGTATTGGTATTTGTTACGAATTGGCTCTTCTGTTTTAAAACTTTCGTTTCTTCGGTTGCGTTTGACATCCAGGATATAAAAAATTCTCATGACCAATAACCATAGATTTTTTTAATTATCTATGATTATTTTACGTGAATCCAATAATAGGTAAGTGACAAAAATTATCTTTTGCATAAATTATAGAACAGAAATATGTCAAAAAATATTTTTATTATGCATTTTAAAATGCGCAATTAAAGTCTAAATTCATTCACATTTATATTCTATTTAGGCGCGACGCAATGAAACTTTACGATTTCGACTCCTACATCCCCTCATTAATATTTTGCTACAATAGTGACACCGAAAAAGTCTGTAAAGAAAAGAGCTCGAAATTATTCATGGGATAATATAATTTGCAAGCGAATACTATGGCCATACACCTAAGGCGTTTCAGCTAGATTCTTACATAAATAAAGAAGGCATCACGTCTCATAATCCACGTACAAAGAAACATAAACATGAGTGACGCACTTATCTTTTGTAATACATAATGTCGTAAAGCTGAATGGATGAGGAAATTCTTTCTTTCGGATTTTGGGGTCAGGCTAGCACGAAATGTGGTAGACGCGTTCTAGCTAGTGATTATTTTTCTGATTTTCAACCGACTCAAAAAAGAAAGGGGCTCTCAAATGGGTTGTATTTTTTTGTTTTGTTACTTCATAACTTCGTCTTTATAAACCGATTTGGATTTTTTTCTGAAAGGGTATACTTATAGATTGGTCCTATAGATATATTTTATCAAAATCGGTTTATTAGTTTTTTTTATTTAACTAGTTTTGTAACGATTGAATTACGTGTTTTTTTTTTTTTTGTGGAACAAAATATTAAATTACTTTTTGAACAGTAACTAAAGAATATTTTCAAAAATTATTAAAATATTATAGAATTTCAGCAAGCATAATTAATGGAGCTTTGGTCATTACAATATCGTGAAATCAATATAAAATGTAAACGCAATAGTATTAATAATTTATGACCACGCAAACTATCTACAATCACACATAACAATAAACGATAAAATTTACCACCCGTTACAGATTATTGCTTTTAAAATTTAAAAGCTAGATTTTTCAAATTTTAATCTTGCAAAGTTTTATTCTCATCTAAGAAACAATAGGATTACCATACTTTTGTGGTTTTCCAGATTTTCCAATTACTTTGGAACTTATTTAATACTAGCTTTGTGACCTATTTGTACGCGTGGATTTCAGAAGTAGGAAAACTAATAAAATAGATAGCGTATAAAGTGCGTTTCTAGACAGTGAATCTAGATAAAATATGTATCAGTTTTTAAGGTAGACCTTCAGAATTACAACAGTGAAAACTGTGTCCAATTTGGCGAAGTACTTTTTGTAGAATACCGGAACAAACATATATGTATGTTTGTTCCGACAGACCGACAGACGAAATTTAAAAAAAAAATATCATTTGCTTTTTACTACACAAAGACCTCTCATATATTTTTTTTTCTTAAATATCTCCCATGTACAGACATTGTCTAGTACAATTTTATTTGATTAGCAAAATATTGTTTGTAACCCACTCCAATTATATTTCACTATAATATTATTTCACAACTACTTGTTCTATTTAGTAATAATACAAGTATGTATGAAATAATTTATTACATATTAGTATATATAATGGGCATTTGATCTATTGATTTATACAAGACTATCGAGTATGTATACAATATTAAATTAAGCAAACATTCGAAAACAAATTTGTAAGTGAGAATTATACGGTATAAGTATGTATAAATAAAAATTTTTGACATACGATTTTATAAATTTTCTTGTTGCCTGTATCACACAGATATTATATTATGTAAATTGATTTTAAGCATTTTATAATATTAGAAAATAATAAAAAGGGGATTCAGAATTATTTTCTTTCCCTAATTTTTAAATCGAAATTTACATTTACGCTATATTTTTTTTAATTCCTAACAGATTCTAAAACGATTGTCATCCTATCTCAAATAGCCATTGCTGCATTTCCGTGAAACAATAGACTTATAGTTTTGTCAGATACGGACCAACAAGTTATTGGACACACCAGAAAGTTCTGAAGATAATCGCTGATATTCCTCTAGATTTATGGCGCTGTATTGTTAAACGCTCGCTAATATATCGCAAAGAACTCTTTGTTCGTACTTTCCATTTGATTCGAGTTTCATCGGGAAATGGTTTAGTTTTCAAAAGTTGTGCAGACCCGTTTATCTCTAAGTATTTTATATTTAAGTACCGAAATGTTATAATAATCATGTCACACTGAATTAGCAATACTTGGCTACTATATTTGGCTTACCCATAACTTTTAAAAATGTTAATTGCATTTTTAAATTTGCATACAGGCCATGGTGTAATTTGAGCTACAAATTTCCTATAAGTGACAATAATTTCTCTTAAAAATTAAATACTCTACAAGATTATCGTCATAATAAGGGTATTACCTGTCTGTCATGTTGTACCTTTAAATGATACAAATCAGTCTCTACCTTAGTACCACTTTTATAGAATAATTAGAATTATTTACAACAAATATACTTTCGATAATGAATATTAATTAAATAATGTGAAAGTATACTTTACCTCTCTTTTTAAGCTGGTCATCGTCACACGGAATCGAACCCAGGCCCCGCCCCCTCCAGGTCCAAGCAACTATTCGGATTACAATATCCTATCTATATCACAAGCTTCCACCTAGCTTAGCACTAAACTCTAATCTAACACAATTGACACTTCAACAACGATCGGTAACGGTCCACTTAACTTTAACACTAAATAAAACTCTAATATTAGTTAACATGATAAAATGAACAGAAATCTCGACTACAATACCAAAGTAACAAATTAAAAAAAAAAAAACAAATTTTCGCTGTATGTACATAGGACGTGGTAGTTTGTGGACGACCTGATAAGTAGGTAACTTAGTCCGAATATTAGCAGGATTTGTTTAGTGGACCCAAGAGGGGGCGACGGAATAGGGGGTGCGTGGGGCGCCCCCGCCAGACAGGGTGGTGGGAACTGGAGGAGCGGGCGCCACGAATTGACTCTCTGCTTCGGCAGCCATTGTGGTTTGCTGCTGGCTAAAGTTGAAGTCCAAGGAGCCGTCCATGCTTAACTCATGTTTTATGACCTGTTAATATAAAATTTTAACATAAATATTATAAAATTAGACAAAGAATAACAATTAACTTATTCTTTTCCTGATTGTCTGGAGTCTGAACTAGGCTTAAATATCATGACACATCTTCAGATCTATATCACTGAATAAAGGTCTCGGCGTAATTTTGGTTTTTAAAGTTCTAGAATAAGTTGTAACTCAAGTAAAGGAAAATTGTAACCAGAGTTATATGATTTTTTTTTGTATAATTTGTAATAGCAAATAAGCTGACGGTCCGCATAATAGAAAATAATAAATGACGCTTGTAAGTATGAACATAACAGAATAAATTAGATACGTTATCATTTCCGGAGATTATAGTATGTACAAAATTTTAAAATTATGGGATATCATAACGCATGGGAGGTATCATGGGCGAAACAGTATACTCTGTTATGTCCATGGTCATAATTATAGGCGACGGTTACCACTTTTCATCAGGTGGATCGTCACTTGTTTGCCATTCTATGTTGCTTAAAAAATATATATGAGATCGAAAATTTTATCACCGCATTTGTCCTCAACATATGCCCTGTAAAATAAGTAAATAAAAATTAATAGAAAAATAATGTGATACCTCATCAACGTTGCAATCAAAGCCATGTTCCAGCGATTCGATGTTGATATCCTCCGCTAGACCAGCATGCAGGGCACCCATTATTTGGCCCATAACTGTAGTGGGCCCCATCGTACCAGCCTGTACCATCATGCCACCATTCATGAGGGCTGCGTCTGATGTCGTCACCATTTGAGCCGGTACATTTTCTGTGAACAAATTTTTTATTTTATATATTTATTGTATTTACTTTATTGTACAAACTAATTATACATAAAAATATGATAGAAGTAATCAAATATACAAAGGCGAGCTGAACTCTAAAAGAGTTTCTTCCAACCAACCCAAAGTGGAAAGGAACATCAATATCAGCGGGTAAAGTGGAGTTATATGTGTATTGTGACATTTTTCAAACAAAAGAAATAGATAAACTTAAGTTTATACATAGCTATATTATATTTAATAAAAAAATTTAAATGAAAATTTTCTAAAAAAATTACGAGTATATAAATAAAAGTAATTTACCGTATACATATATATGTAAGTACATCTCTTCAGAGCGTCTGCATCCATTTGACAATTTTTTTTTATTATGTTTATAATGTAAGGATAAGATTTGTATGAAAGAAAATGTTTGAAAAATCGTACGGAAAAAGTACATTCGGACGGAACTGAGACGATCAAAACATAATAGTATAGAAAAAAAAAGAAAACTACAATATACCTGTTTGCATAATATCGGCAGGATCAGCTGGGGGTGGTGGTCGCACGAAGGGGTCCATTGCATGTTGGTGTGGGTGTGTTGGATGCGCGGGATGCGCCGGATGAGAATATAGGGATGCGCATGCGCATCCCCCATGCAGATGTCGTGGACACGACGTCCCGTAAGAGGGGTAACGATAATTGTTCCCGGAAGATGACGATGACGTCGTTGGAACATACCTGGAATACAGTTCGAAATTTAATGGAAACCTTTAATTTTATCTTAACGATGCGCAACTCGATGGAAATTTATTTAATTATTGCTCACATTATAATCATTTCATTATCATTGACCTCATTATAGATGGCATAATGAATACACTTTATTACTAGTCGTCTTATAATATTTATATTAGTTTCTTATATGACTTCGTATGTATAAATGAAAATAATTTTCAACTTATCGTTCTATACGAAGCAAAGCATTTTGTCTAGGACAAGGCATTTACTAATGCTATCTTTACTGTAGACACGAAAAAGGAAGCAGCTTTAAAATCTCTAAAGGCTCATAACAAAATATGCTGTGACTATACTTTTGTGAGGGATAACCAAAAGTGTACTCGCAGCGCTGAAGCATACTAATCTTAACCCTTACGTGTTAAGGAATGGATCGGCTCCTTGCAGTTTCATAGAGTCCGCAAGTCCGGCCAACTGCGCGTCCTCTTGCGTGTACTCTGCTTGAGGGAAATCGCTATTTGACGCGAAATCCCCAGCGGGGTTGTAATCCCAGTCTGGCTCCGATGTGATCATGGATGGAATTGGGGATAGCCGGCCACATGATGATGCATTGGACGACGCCCTCTGACGGAAGTCCGGCGACAACTGAAAACTGCTGCTACGCAGAAGCGAACAAGCGTCAAATAAATGATCTATAACTTAATACAAATCACGTAATCGTAACTGCGAAGGTGATGGTAACTCTTCATGAAATAAACAGACGATAACATGATTTAAATATTGCTCAACAGGCAAATAATGATAACTCACGGCAAAAAGAAACTTAAAAGCTATTTTATCTAGTAGAATATAGTCTATAATAGCCCCAAACATTGAATATAATGGGAAGCATGCAAATGTAATGTCTAAATAGAGGGCCGCTAACATATAAATTTGTAGGCTACATGAAGCGATCACCATAACGGGTTCAATGGTCAGCGCAGAAATATTTTTATTACTACAAACAATGACAAAACGTTGTATAAGAAATGTGCTATCGGCTCGTTCTTCGAGCATCCGAGTGTAACTGTCCGAAATAAAAGTTATGCCCGTAATCCCTACAGATATTCGGCAATAAAAATGTTAAATATTGGTGAAATGTCGAGATTCAGCATCCATATAACTCATCATCTAATGGTTGTGAATGATTTAAAACCTTTTATCATAAAGTAGCAGAGTTGCAATAACTCAATTTTATTAGTCCGGTCAACGCTGTTTATGTGCGATAGTTTTATTATATCGAATGAATATAGCGTTTGGACAATTCGAATCTCACTTTGTTTCTAGTGGTCATAAAATTTCGATATTCCTGAAACTGACGCTATTTACAATATCATCGAGAAGATGTTCGTAGTTTTGGCAGATCTCACCATTGCATTACTTGTATGGGTAAGTTATTCTGCGTTTAAAGTCAAATTAGTATCGCTATCCACTGCATCCGTTCTGTCGACATTATTGGCTATATGCCACGTTCCTTTAAGTTCACTCGCATCTGTAGATACTATCTTAACGGGGAAATGATCTAAAAAATTCTAAAAATTATCTATAATTCTATTTTAAGCTTTGTAACAACACTTTGCTAATGTTAATATTAGATTGATGGCGTTTTTACCTGTGCAGTGGTGAGTCTGGGAACATGTCAAGGCTTTCTGAAACTGAACTACTGGGACTTGGAGTGGCGTCTGCTGTCACGCCATTCCTTAATGCTTCAGCCTGCGGATGTTCAGTTCTATTATATATGTATATTAAAAATGTCGACTAATGGAACTGCGTAAATGACAAGAGAAAAATAAATTCTTAATTTGCCTAATAAGTATGAATGGGAAAAAATTTACATCCCTACTTATATTTTACTTTTATCGACTACTGATATCATGAACTTTGTATGTATATATGTTTAAAGAAAATTTTTAATACATTTTTAAGCACTTGATTTATAAAATTACTTGCTGAAATTATTATGGATAAATACAAGTAAATACAATAAGTTGAATGTAATTAAATATAAAATGCTGTAAAATATTTGAACGAAATATAATATAAATAAGATATTCTATATATATTTATTTAACAGTAATATTGAACAATTCTACGAATTCATTTAGTGGTTCAGAAGTTAAAATTCAATAAAATATAATATTGATATAAATAATTTCGTAAATATTATCAGGAATATTTTTTTTATCATATATTTTAATGTCATGGAATAGGAATATTTTACTGACTCATGTTTTATTTAAATTAATATATTAGATTTATAACAATATAATATTATAATATTATGTAAAAGATTAATACTAATATTAAAAAAAAAATAATGCAATAAATTAAAATTTAAATATAATATTTTCTATACCTAATTCTTACTGAAATTTTTCAGGAATTTATAATAATTATTGAATTAACTACAAAAGCAAAACTTTTCATACCTTCTTCTTAACTCTGCCTCTTCTTTTTTCAAATTTGGATGTCTCCATTGAAGCTGCGCGTCTTCTAACCGACTTCCCTGGTTTCGCATCCGGATTGATCATCCACCAGGAAGATTTTCCGGTGCCTTCGTTTTGGACCCGCATAAACCGGTTATGTAATGACAGGTTATGCCGGATCGAGTTCTGTAACAAATTATTACTAGTTAGGGATCTAGCTACAAGTGAGGTTATCAAAGAGATATTAATCCTTTAAAGGCCATACTGAAAGTTGAGTTGTATATTAAAAATTTATTCGTGCTAAGATCATGAGTTTTTTTTATTATTTTAAAAAATATGATATAAGAAATTTAATGCTTTCTTGAAATAGAATTAGAAACTTGTAATCCTTGTACAATTTTCTACATTGTATTCCTTCATTACAAAGTTTAAGTAACAATACCCATTTTAAGAACAATTAAATAACATTTAAATATTAATTTAATTTTAAAAGTATAATAATATGTTTATTTCAATTTAGAGAACATTGTTGTGTTTAATAATACTGCTGTCTACTTGACAAATAAGTAAATTTGTGGCAAATATCTTATGGCTGAGTTCAGGCTGCAAAAAATAATGTCGTAAAGAGAAACCACAAGTACGCCAGCACAGACGTTTCTGACCGCAAAAAAATCTATTTTAATTTCATCTACCGTTAAAACTTAGTGCAATAACGTGTCCTACCATACTATCTCACACCGACAATAAAATCTCACAACTTTTTCCCGTCGAAGGAATAAAAGCGACCACAGCAACGAATGAAGTTTAGCAATAAAAGAGTCCATAAATAATTTCTGCGTACCCTCGGAGATTTGCCACTTAACGTGGATACCCCTCTCTCCATGTAAATATGTAGCACTTACACTTTATGGCTGAACAATGCTTCAAAAAATTCAATGTCGAATATTTCCACGTAATTCTCACGCACAATTTAACAGGAATGTTATCTATACTCTTGGGTGGGATGCATAAATTTCGAGCGCAGTTTATGTAAATCATTTAAATTTTATGCTTGTCTGTACTAAACACGTGTCGTTTGTTCTTATATAAATATATTATATAGTAAATACTAGTGTCTCGCCCCGGCCTCAGACATTTTTAATATATATTGTAATAAGCCCATGTTATTTGCTAATAGTAGCTGTTGTATTCCATAGGTGAAAGAATTTTTAAAATCAGTTGATTTTAAATTCTATTACGTACAATCATATTTTTGCTCTTTATATTAGTATAGATATAGAATTTTTTATATATAAGTATAGTCATAGACAAATAAACAATCAAATCTGTTTTATTTGTAATATCAAAAGAGAGATATAAAGACATGCGACCACAATACTCAAGTTAGAGTCTCAGGTGCGTCGGATTATACGGTGTCCTCTTTTTCAATGGAATATTTCAATTCTATCGGTGGATCGACTTTCAAACTAAGACATATAAAATTCATGGTGTTCTCAATGCCTTTTTCACGAATTCTAGAAATGCCAATGGTATTATAAGAGACATCGAATCACACAAATCTGACTGGGAGAGAATACTTTTACCATCAACTCCGTCATGTATAAATACATGTACTAATGAATAAATAAATAAATACTATGAGTAGAACAATTAGCTTGTAATACTGAGCATTTTATTAACTGCATCCAATTAAGTTTATGTAATTTCCAACAATTGGACACGTACATAAATCCAGTAAATGTGGACAAGTTTCGCGATTTATCAAGCGTGAAAACACACGCAACAAATGGCCTGTCGACACTTTGATGGATTTGTCGCCAGTTGCCCTTACCATGAATTATATCTGAAGTGTGACAAATTTATATATACGAGATGTATATATATATTGTCGTGTTGTCCTAGCATAAGTTAATCACTAAAGCCTAATTACGGTTGCTAAACTGCCTACGAAGCATAGCAACTATTGGCAAAATTCGCCAAGGTGGAGGCCTATAACGATGATACTGTGTAAAAGATATTGAATAGAACTCTAAAATATATTGCACAAGTGAATCATTATTAATGTAACTATACTTCTACGAACCGTATTATAATTAGCAAAGGACATCGCGGTCGATCACGATGGTCATCGCGGTCGAGTACGATTATCGTTTAAATTTTTAAGACATTTATTATAAGTATTTTTTAAAAAAAAATATCTATGTAGATCAATTTTTCGCTTAGAAATTCTACAGTGCTTTATGCAACACTATTTTGTAATTATACAGAAAAACAGAGTTACTTAAATACGAACTAAATCAATAAAAAAGAAAGCCATAAATAACAATTTGCAACTAGTTTAGATTTTGTTCCGAAAACAAATTATTAATATGATTTATAAGAGTTCATATAAAAAAAAGAATACAAATAAAATGGTATTCTAATTATTTAATAAAATAAAATTTAATTCAATAATCGGATACCAGTATATTCGATTTGAATATATCGATATCGATTCGACTGTCGTCATCGAGACAAGTGCGAAAACTTGTGATAATGTTTGAGGTAAATTGTGATAGTAGACACTATGACACAAGTCCATCACTTTTATTATGCAAAGTAATTGGATTTCCTATAGACCTCGACTTCATATCGTAAAACTATGTCTAGACTTCGTATTTATATGTCTACATTAATATTTATGCCTCAAAATCAGAGTATAAGCCACCTATAATTTCAGAAGTGTTTTATGTGAACGCGAAGGCATATAGCTAGTTTGCTCAGTCAGTAGCGACTAAACTTAATCGAATCTTCTACTCCTGTGACATCACGTACGTATGTTACGTAATTTACCTGTTTTTTTTTTTTTTCGGGGGCGTATATATTATGGTTCATACGGTCGTATTTCTCTACGCTCCAGTGAAGATTGAACGAATACTGAATGCGGTGCTTTGTAAAAAGATAGAAAGATATAAAACAGCGCTAGAATCACATTTCTCGTGTTAACAAGATTGTGTTTAAAAAAAAAAAAAATTTAATGCTTATTACTTTTGACAAATAAAATAAGAAAACTATTATCTTCATACGTGTAATAAAATTGTAAGTAGACGATGCCTGTTATTTGGAATTAGGGAATAAAAATGAGGGATCATAATGAGAACAATAGAATCCCATATAATATTGTTTAAAATGTTTGTCTGTCTGTTTCTTTCTCTTAGGTATCACAAATATCTACTGCACCAATAAAGAAACAGTTTACAAATCTTCGTTCTCGAAGGTGAAACTTAAAACCTGATGTACATATGTTGTATTATGATATACTATACAAAAATGGTCTATCTCATCGAGTTTCCTTCAAAAATTACGCGTACCAAGCTGCAGGCAAAAGCTAGTTTATTATATATTTACAATTCTTGATTCTCAATATTATACATATAACGCGTAGGTACGATAAAAACACACCTTAATGTAAAAAAACAGCTGGGCGACCTTTGACACAGTCGAATTGGATTCAAATTGAAATTAGAATATATTTATTTTAAATGATCTATATATTTAGTCTAAATAAATGATGTGTTACTAAATGGACGTAACTATTAGATGTCGAAATTATGTGATTTTATTAAATTAAAACCCAATCTACAGATTACACACCTACTTATAATAAAACTACTTTTACGTCAATAAGTCCGATCAAGATTCAAACGTTTGACCTTATTATGCGAAGCAAGAAGCCTGACAGGTTAGTTACGGAGGCCATTGTTTACATTAGTATTATTTGGTATAAGCGTATGTTATAACATTTAAAAGTATGCTTGCTCTCTACTGCTTTGAATTCTATAGAATATCATTGATAAAATATGCATATATCGAATTACAATAAACTATTAACAGTAAGCCGAGAAATGCGCCTGAATACCTTATCAAAAATTATATATATACAATATAAGCCTTAGCATTTATTTTTTTATACTTAGAAGTCTTTGTTGATATGCTCACAACTGAAGTTCAAGGGAATTAGTGATGAAGATTTTAGTCTTAATTTTTAATAATAACTTATTAGATCGATATCCATGCGGTTTTTCTTGGAAACTATCATAGTTTCTTATTGGATTCGTTAAGATAAGACAACTGAGATGTTTTCATTTTCACCTATCATCTGTTATTAATGCTCTGTCAGCGTATATCGATAGTGTAAACGAGGCATTCATTTAAAAAAATCTTATGTCCTGAATTAGAATTAATAAAAAAAAAACAACAATTAATATTATTGCTTTTTGTTGATATGTTTACGACTTTAGTATATATGGAGTAAAATAATAATTGAATTAAATGTTCCAATATTAAATGAACCCTTCCAGCGATATTATATGAAAGACGTACGCATCTCGCGAGGAACGGTGGCGCGTAAAACCGGGGCGGCAAGACATCGTACTTAGAATTTTGTCTACGGCAGGATCTCCGGCGCCACTGCGACCCTTATGGGGGTGAATTAACCGTCTACGCCGTCGACGGTCCCCTTTAATGCTCCACCGACTTAAATTTTGTCGAATTTCCACCGCTATTATATCGCGTTACGTAATCTCTGAACTGAATGGCTTATGATTTCCGCAGTTTATTGCCAATGCTTGTTTCTTGGGTGTGTTAGCGTTGACGGCGTGTTTGATTGGAAACAATAGTTGTTCACTTAGGGAGATAGAATCCATTGCGTAACGCGAGCAACCAATATTGTGTATTCTTTCGTTGTTAATCTTGCTGATTTGTTTATTTAAAATTTGTTTGGAAATAATTTAATATATAATAATATTTTATAAAATTATTTTTAGTGTTTACATTGTATGATAAGTTTATTACAATACTATTAGATGACGCTTTCGAAGTGTTATAAAATATAATACATACTAAATACAACGATTCACAATAACAAAATATATTTGGAAACAAACATAAATGATGATAGTATTTTTTTTATTAGACAAAGGCTCGTCAAAATATAGACTGACAACACAATTGGCATTTCATATATGGCTTAGTGCCCCCTCCTGGCATAGCTTAGCGGTGGCTGTGGTTGGAGGGGAGATGGGCTTGGCACGCTCGACTGGCTGGTAGCGACATCTCGTGGCGTGATGTAGTGTTACAACTTATAAATGAGATATTTTCTCCATACTCAAATCGTAAATCGATGTTTTGCTTCATTTCGAATTCGA